TAGGTATTATTTCATACAATGTGCATTAATGTATGCTTTTGTATCTGCCTAGAGTTTAACTTAAATTACTAAATGCCATGTGTTGCAATATACATTAATAGACATTCTCTTTTTTAATAGCTCTTCAATACCCATAACTGCTGTACATGTGTAGAGTTCTGAATTTCTGTCCCTGTATGTGATTGTTCCTTCTCAGTATCTCCTAACTGAGCATGTCGACTACTAGTTTAATGTCCACCCTGTGACCATAGCTTGTGTCTCCCCTGGTTTCCATTGACCATGGCTTGTGTCTCCCCTTGTCTTTCCTTGACCATGCCTTTTGTCTACCCTGACCCTGGCTTTTGTCTCACCTTGCCTTCCTTGACCATGGCTTGTGTCTGCCCTTGTCTCCTTTTGACCATGGCTTGTGTCTGCCCTTGTCTCCTTTTGACCATGGCTTGTGTCTGCCCTTGTCTCCTTTGACCATGGCTTGTGTCTGCCCTTGTCTCCTTTGACCATGGCTTGTGTCTGCCCTTGTCTCCTTTGACCATGGCTTGTGTCTGCCCTTGTCTCCTTTGACCATGGCTTGTGTCTGCCCTTGTCTCCTTTGACCATGGCTTGTGTCTGCCCTTGTCTCCTTTGACCATGGCTTGTGTCTGCCCTTGTCTCCTTTGACCATGGCTTGTGTCTGCCCTTGTCTCCTTTGACCATGGCTTGTGTCTGCCCTTGTCTCCTTTGACCATGGCTTGTGTCTGCCCTTGTCTCCTTTGACCATGGCTTGTGTCTGCCCTTGTCTCCTTTGACCATGGCTTGTGTCTGCCCTTGTCTCCTTTGACCATGGCTTGTGTCTGCCCTTGTCTCCTTTGACCATGGCTTGTGTCTGCCCTTGTATTTTGTCCCCCCCCCCCCCCCCCCTTCTAAAAGTATGCTTTGCATCCATGGAGATTTATATACCTTAGCTTCATGTAGTTATGCCCTTGGAATAGGCCAGGATTTCCAGTTGGTAGTTTTTTTTCCCCTCAGTGCTGAGATAAGGTGCAGACAGCTGACATCCACCAAATTTGAGACAATCCGTTATGGGGTCGTTTTAACCTTTAAAAATCTGTACGATATGAAGAAACTATCTTTTGACTTCATGTGCTGCATTGAAATGTATATTGCTGAAATGTGTGATTTGTTAATGATTTTGTTTCTATATGTCACAGGAATTGCCAGGAAGAGCTCTCTCATCACCTGGGCAAAGCAAACGCAGTAAGAACAAGGACAACTCCCTCCAGGCCAGCAGGTAAGATGTCGAAGGGTACAACATGTACCCAATGATGATATGGAGTGAAGAGCTATGATTTGGTCAAATATGTGGACAAAGGCACTCTTGCATTCTAGACTCATCGGTGAATTCCAGGAACCACCAGAGTCTCTTAAAAGGAATTTTATGTTTTTTTGTCTGGATGATAAAATCGCATTTGAGTGCCTTGTTTTGTTCTGCCAGCAGATGGCACTTTAGGATCCTTTTTATTGACTTTTCACATTACCGTTTTATAACTCTATAAAGCCTGAAGAAGAAGAAATCTGACAGGTCTTGTTTTCATATATCTTTATCAAGACACTGAGAAGTTTATACTTGAGTAATTAATAAAAGGCTTTCAGTAAGACCGGGGGGAGCTGTGCCCGTTATTTCTCGTGCCACCGGTCTTCTTCCATCCCCAATGTAATTCATTGGTGAGCGACAATGTAATTAGGTTGCCACTCACTGTAGTGGGAGGACCCAGGAGTCTGACTCCTGGTCTTAGCTGTCCACTGTCATTTGATTGACAGACATAGACAGGAGACCATGACTGACACACTTGGGTTCGTCAACAAATAAACCACAATCACATCATTGAGAACTACAATTCTGATGCCAGGATAGGATTTGTACTTGTGGGGCTGCACACCACATGGATGTGTCATCACCGCTTGCTTGATTCCTCTGGTTGCCCTGCAGTAGCTGCGATGAAGTCACAGCACACGTCACAAGAACTATAGAGTTTAAAAAAAAAAAAACAACACAACCCTTTAAATGTACTTAGTAGCAGGAAATAATGGCCAAGATTCAGAACTATCCCAGAGTCCAGCTTTAAAAAAAGAAAACCCTGGTCGCAGTACTCTCCTTCAGTCTGGAGTTGCCTCCCAGAGTACCTCGTCTTTGCCACATGACTTCTCAGTCTTCTGTGTTAAATAAAACACGGACGCCGTTCAACGTGGAAGATTGAGAACATACTGTACATGCGTGCAAGATGTCATGGTCCCCCCCCCCCCCCCCCCCCCCCCCACCCGGGGCACACGCCCCCCCCCCCCCCCCCCCCTGAGGGGGATCACTGCTGCGCCCTTCATGCAGAGAGTACTGGTTCAAAGAGTGCTGCAGACATAATTGCATCAGCACCGTCCTCCCAATAATGTGGGCACCCAGCCTGGCAAAAAGGATCCTGAGGTGTCATGTGACCAACCTAAATGAAAAAATAAAATGCTGCCAGTCAGGGCTACAAGGGAAAGGGAAGGGGGGATTAGGAGATTTTCAGGGGAAGCTCAGAGCCTACACTATGTTCTGTAAAGCCTGGTGTTGTGCTGCGCTGTAGATTACATTATTGTTTGTCTTTGTCAGGACCTCATGCTGGAAATGCAATCCCATTGAAGTCTATGAGCATGCTGGAGCTGTCATCCTCCCTAGAGGAAAGCACTGCCGTACTGGGTAAGCATCAGCCTATTTGTGATGTGACCTGTCTGTAATCTGCCTATGGGAATACTTACAGCTTCTTCCCTTTACAGAAAAGGCAGTCCAAGCAGTACAGGAAAACCTAGAAAAGCTGAGATCATCCGATAAAGGACGACACAAATGGCCAGACCCCTGAGCAAGGAGGTAAAGGGACTGGAAGCATCGTGACAGCCAAATTCAACAAATCCCAGAAGCAGCCTAAAGCTGGCCATAACCATTACAGACCGATTATACTATATCCGTCAGTTTGTATCCATGAGGCAGGCCTTACACTATACTGTTGATCTAAAGGATATTGTAATGCAGGGGTAGGCAACCTTGGCACTCCAGCTGTGCCAAAACTACAAATCCCAACATGCATCTGCATCTGGGAGTTATGTCTGTGGCTGTCAGAGCCTTGCAATGCATCATGGGACTTGTAGTTCCACAACAGCTGGAGTGTGAAGGTTGCCTACCCCTGTTGTAATGTGTATACTCAACTTAGATCTGTCGACCGCCTTTCCTCAACAGGTTCTACTGTTCCGCATTTTGCTGTTTATACAGTAATCTCTTTATCGGTGATTAAAGAGATTCTCATAGTAGCATGGAAGGGGTCAGCTCTAATGGAATGGATTCCCTTAAATAGAATGACTTTGATTTTGGGCCTCATGCCTTAGGAGGTCTAAAGGAATATGATGTCATTAAAAAGTCGATCCACTCACAGCTGATACCAATTTATTTTAGAGGCTGGAGGGGGGGAGTTGCTATATCCAAGACCTAGGAAGCCAATCGGCATCCCTCCAGAACTACAGTATTACACCACCTTTGAGTGAGTTGACCCTTTTACTGATGCAAGAAAGTGAGAGTTAATAAACTTTTACTGCTTCTGATTTCTTCTTCCATCCAGGGAGTTCCATTATTGGGAACGCAGTTATGCTACTTGGCACATTTGCACAGCATATCTTAATGCTGGGTCCCCCCACCCTCCCCTATGTTGTTTACTTCACGTTTACATTATATCAAAAGGCAAAAGAAATGTTGAAGTTTTGAATAAGGAATACAAAAACCCATTTTTGTGTGTGTAGGGTTGTTTTGGCTTCAGATATACTTTAAACTATTGAGTACTGATAAAAAAAAAAAAATTCTGTACTTGCCGATACCGGAAGTCCCATTAAGGAAGTCGGGCAGCATGTAATGACTCACTGCCCGGCTTCCTGATTACCCGGGACTCCATGCTCCCTTCTCACCATGAAGCCGGCTTTCTGGCCATCAGGAAGCTGGGGACTGGTAATGACTCGCCGCCCGGGCTTCCTGATCAGTCAGGAAGCTGGCCAATCAGGAAGCCTGGCAGGGAGTCATTACACGCTGCCCCGCTTGGTTGGGAGGCTGGCTCCCTGGTGATGAGGGAGCATGGACCCATGCTTTGTAAGATTTCTGGACTTGGAGCCTCTGATCTGCAGTGCGTTTGCACGTTGGTCCGTGAGATTTCTGGTATAAAAAAAGTTTAGCCATACAAGTTTATTTTGTTGGCTAGTACAAATGATAATTAACATACTGAAACCCTCAACAACCAATCCGAATTCAGTTTACTCCAGTCAGGCTAGTTAGGAGATGGATTTTGGTTGTTGTCGGCTGCTACACCTTGCACGTCATCATTGTCCTGTGCACTGACTGAATAAGCATTTTAGTTTAAATAATCAAAAACTGTTCATCCGGATATTTATTAATGAACATTTGATGTTTGTTTTCCACCTTCTTCCAGGAGCCTTTCTTACTGTACCTCAGACGATGGGTGATGCTTTCCACCCCGAAGATGACAGACCCCAGGGCATGGTGCCCACCTCTGCTCTCCTCCGCTTAGTGAGCCAGCCGGGCACTTCTTGGTCCCTGGGTTGGCGGTGACAGTGGCAGACTGCAACTCACGGTGAAGTTCTACTGAAATGTATGGAAGAAGACGCAGCAGGCCACAATCTCAATGACAGGGATGGTTTACAAGACTGTTTTATTGAAAAGCTTGGCCAGCATAATTAAGCATTCGGTTGCTGGATAATACTCATTCTGCAAGTGGCAGGATTAAATAAGTGACACAACAATCGTTTTGGGGACTCTTTGGTTTTTTTTCGATTTTATCAGTTCTCTGTTTCAAAGACAGTTGATGTTTAGTAGTCAAATATTGATGGGTGACAAATAAGCCCGGGTATGTTCATATTGTCCATTGTCTTTCCCTGCTTCCACCACATTAAAGCCTATATTCTCCTTTCTTTGCCCCTTCCATTTCTCCGTTCAGCCATCAGGAGTGAAGACAGTCAGTGTAAGCTCTGAGTTGCTGCAGTCAGAGCTTACAAAGTCTGCTTCCATGCAATAGCACTAGTGCTGCCACGTGAGAAGTAAGGGAATGAGCTACATACTTCTCAAGACCCTATGCAATGTGATTTCTTTGTTCCCAGCAGCTGAAAGAAGCAGTATGGGAGTAAAGAAAGTGCAGGAGGCTCATACTTTGGTATTCAGCCCTATGGGGTGTATTTCTATACAATTTTCAGAGCCATTTGTCTCATGGGACACTGGCAACATTCGTTCTATGTGAATGGAGGCAAAAATGAACGTTCTTCAAATATTTTGTTTTCAGGTCGAATTTAGTATCTGGAAAATACCACAATATGGCCACTAGCTGGAGCATAGGAAAGAAGTATTTATTTCCCATGCTCCTCAGCTTTATCTAAATGGCCATAATGTGGTATTTTCCTGATCTTACATTTGCATCTATGCCTATATAGTTAGATACATTTTAGTCCCTCTTCTTGTCAGTTCAATTCAAGAAAAGGAACAATTTTTGTGTGAGGAAACGAGTCACACAAATATTGGCACTGTACTGGCACACTTAAATTTCAAGTTAGAATTCGGATCACACTCCTCTTCAAATCAGGCTTGTTCCTTTGTCACAGAGTTGTCCACTGACCCAAGTGCTCCAGGCCTTCAAGTGAAGAAGTCAGCCATTTTGTTACAATTATCTCTGAAAAGTACTCTGTAGCTACATTTGGTTGAATGGCTTTGGAGACGACGTGTTGCTACACCGTACTGGTAAGCACTCCATGCCACTCCATGTCTTTACCTGAGTGCTTGCTTTGCATTAGCCTGATGACCTCCATTGTTATGGAGGCCTAAGAGCAGGAGTAGTAGTCACTGCTGTCCGGTATCAATAATGTGACTGAGTTCTGACCCCTCAGTTCCATAGTGACAGGCTCACATAGAGCGTCCAATATCTTTTATGATAGGTCATCGAAGGCACAAGGCCGGCCTGTTCATTTTCCACATCTGCCATTTCTTTCGTATTTCATACTTGACCTAAGAGGGAGAAAATACAGAGACGTCTATGTAGTTAAAAACATTGTATTATGCCCATTCAGGGCAAAGTGACAGGTTCTCTTGGAAGAACAACACTCAATCTGTGTCCTCTCTACTTCCCCAGATCCCTTCACAAATACTTGATGCTTCTGGGTTTGGGGGAGCATGTGACTTCCTCCCAGAATGCAGTTCTCATGCCCCAAAAAAATCATATGAGAGAGGGGAGGAAAGCATTAACTGCATGTAAGCTCCAACATGAAGTGTACACAGGATTAGGGCTTGGCGATCTTTTTACATTGTAAGCTCTTACGAGCAGGGCCCTCTTAGTCCTACTGTATTGTAACTGTACTGTCTCCCTTTATTTTTTAAAGTGTTGGAGCTTTATAAATGCTATATAAGAATGGGGTGTCAGAGAAGAAAGAGAACCTGTGACAGGGCCCCTTTTAACCTGATTTATTTTAGGTTGTGACAGTTCCACAACTCTATCCATGAGTACTCTGCCTTTGTGAAAAACCTGGATTATGGTTTCATACCAGTAACTGAACACTGACTGCCTATTAATGTGTATGAAAGGTTACAATGTCCTACAAAGGATTATTTAGGAAGTGTCTCTTGTAAATGCATAAATCAATCTTGTATAATTAGGCAATAATAAAGTATTTGGAATTGGAGATGAACACTGACTTTATCTTTGCAGTGTAGATGACATTGGAAGTAGTACACGTAGAGGCTGATGTATAAATCTTTCACCCAGCGTAAAGCTCAGCAAATGCAGTTTGCATGGAAATGCCGCCACTTGATGGCACCAATGATAGTGGAAAATTCCTATTCTCCTCATTGTCATCTATTGGTGATTTAATCCCTGCAAATGTAATTCGCCCAGCTTTACATGGAGTGCTGTGCTTGGGTGACCTCACCTGCCTTAAGCTCTTAAAGCTGGCCATACACCTATAGATCTGCAGATTTTCTATGGTCAGATGGAAAAAGTGCCACAAATTCCTCCATCTACGCTACACTGCGTGGATGGAGGAATCTCCCGCTGGGCCAAGGTTCAGTATCTTGCTAGTCGGCCCCGCTGGCTCTCAGAATACCTGAACAATCTGATTGGATGCTGGTCTTAAAGCTTATTCAGTGCTTGTTAAGATTTGAATGTCCAGAGCGTGGCTTCATTTCTACTTCAAGCTGACCATGCATGCTACAATCTGACTGTACATTCTGTTGGGGAATTGCCAAAATGATATAATGTGAGGGTCTACCTAAACAATTTGAATCAATAGCCCTACATGGCTGTTGGGAGATCTAAAATAGATTGCACAGTCAGACTTTACCATGTGACTTAATTCATATGTCTGAATAAAGAATTGTTGTTCCTGCTCTAGCTGTAGATAATTGACCGCTGCTTGCATCCACTCACCTCTTTATTGGCAAAGCAGTACAGCACAGCGACCAGGAAACCCTGTAAGAGAATAAAAGTGAACTATATAATTCTGTTGGCTTAAGCTAATGTTATATTTACACAAACCAATCAGACATAACATTGTAGTCACCCGTCTAATATTGAGTAGGTCCCCCTTTTCCTAACCCGTCCCAGCATGGACTCCACTAGACCTCCAGAAGGTATGCTGTGGTATTTGGCACCAAGCCATCAGTAGAAGATCCATTAAGTCCTGTAAGTTGTGAGGTGAGGCCTCCACGGGTCGGACTTGTTTTTCCAGAACATCCCACAGATGCTCGATTGGATTAAGATCTAAAGAATTTGGAGGCCAAGTCAACACCGCAACCATTCGTGAACCATTTTTTCAGTGTGGCTGGTCCCATCCTGCTGAAAGAGGCCATTCCCCTTAAGGGAATACCGTTTCCATGAAGGGGTGTACTTGACCAGCAACAATGTTTAGGTCGGTGGTACGTGTCAAAGTAACATCCACATGAATGTCAGCACCCAAGGTTTCCCAGCAGAACATTTCCCAAAGCATCACACTGCCGGCATGCCTTTTTCCCATAGTGCATCTTGGTGCCATCTCTTCCCCAGGTAAGCGACACACATGCACCTGCCCTCCACATGATGTAAAAGAAAGCGTGATGATTCAAACCAGGCCACATTCTTCCATTATTTTGTGGTCCAGTTCTGATGCTTACGTGCCCATTGTAGGTGCTTTGGGCAGTGGACACAGGGCAGTATGAGCACCCTGACTGGTCTGTGGCTACTCAGCACCATACGTAACAGACTGCAATTCACTGTGTTCAGACACCTTTCTATCAGAACCAGCAATAACTGTTTCAGCAATTTGAGCTCCAGAAGCTCTTCTATTAGATTGGACTACACAGGCCAGCCTTCGCTCCCCACGTGCATCAATGAGCCTTGGCTGTCCATGACCCTATTGCAGGTTCACTGATTTTCCGTCCTTGGCCCACGTCTGGCAAGTCCTGACCACCGCAGACCGGGAACATCCCACGAGAGCTGCAGTTTTGGAGTTGCGTCTGGTTATCACAGTTTGGCCTGTGTCAAAGTCGCTCATATCCTTAAGATTGCCCATTTTTTCTGCTTCTAACACATCAACTTCAGGGACAAAAAAAGATTTCACTTAGAATTGGATTTTTCCAGAACCAGCTCATGTACTCCAACGCATAAGACTGAGATCATTGCAGTTTGCAGGAAAACTCGTGTGAATTTAGTTTAAATAATCCACATTTTACTTATAGCAAAGCTCACCTGAAAAGAACTGAAGAATAGGTTGAAGAAGACTTTGACATATCGCAGAGTCCCTGATGTTTGCTCGTCTGTGGCGAAGATGAACACAACTTCGTGAATCCCAAAAAGCGGAATTAGTGTCAGCGTGGCCTTGGCCAATCTGTAGGAGAAAGTCTTAATTCAATATATATTTTATATGGGAATACGGGGACATCCTAAAATATTTAATGTGTAAATGGCTTAAGGTGACATTAAGCTTGTTTTTTGGGGAGCTTAATGTGGCTTAACGTACAAAAAACAACTTAGATGCTAATCGATTTCCCCCAAACTTCCCATACTACAAGACTCTATGCCAACATATTCTGAAGATTTTGGGTCATTTGATAAAACATACCAAAAGTTATTCACATTAAACTATTTTATGGCAATCCTAAAACACTTAGCTTAATGTAAAACAAGCTTAATGTATCATAATGTGCCTAAACCTCAATCAATTGCTAGCTTTGGCTGCCGGAGCCCTTCGGTTCACTATAGCCCATACAGCTCCCGAAGTTAGTCGAGCCGAAGGGATATGCTTCGGCTCGACTGAGCCGTGGTGAACCCCGAAGCGGGCTGAACGGCCGGCCTCGCAACTGATAGCTGGGTGGAACTAGCCGATCTCACGGCTGGCTCCGGCCAGTTGCAATTAATTGAGGTTTAGGCACATTATGGTACAATAAGCTACATTAAGCCATTTTCACATTAAATGTTTTAGTAGGATGTCCCAGTAAAACGCCCCTCAAAGGCAGATGAGAAGCAATCAGACAACTGGAGAACTTGACAGCATTTCATTTGGCCAAAGCATGATGCAGCATTGAGTCCCAGTGTAAAAAAATGTCGAGCCCCAAATGAAAAATATATTTAGAAGTATATATTATAGAGGGTTCATATAAGAAATATAACTAACCAACCGGACGTACTGAATGTATGCCACCCAGATATGAATGGAATTATAAAATACATTCCCTTCTCGGAGACAGAATGGAGCTGAACAAATAATTGAAACCTTAAAAATATAGGTGATATTATTTCAAAGAGACTTCAGTTGCATTCCAATCACTGTTGTGAGATAGATATGATTATGTTGTTTGGACCAATCATGGATTCCTCATGTGAGTGAAAAGAAGCATTTAGGATAAAGTTGGATAGGCCAGAGAGATGTGGGGACAGCATAGAAGGCCACAGAGAGAGCAGCTTGTCAGGTCAGCAGGGGAAGGCGATCAGAGGAACCCATAGAATCCAGGAGCCATGAACCACCTAGGACTGCTGATATACATGCAGGGGTGGACTGGGCCGGGGGGCAGGGTGGCAATTGCCCCCCGGGCCTCTGCGATGCCGTCACAAACTGCCCCTCGATCTCCGCTGCCACCTGCACCCGGCCGGCCCGCCGCATCCGATGCGGCTCTGTGATCGGCGCGGCCGCTGCTCCGCAAGGGGTTGTTCGGGAGGCCCCAGCAGGGGGCCCTCTACCATGCCTGATTAGAGGGCCGCCTCTACCTGGTCCAGCCAGCCCGGATCGCCTCTGTATGCGATCCTGGCTGGCTGGATCAGGCAGACACAGTCCTCTAATCAGGCGCTGTAGAGGGCAGCCGGTTGGGGCCTTCCGAGGACCCCCTTGAGGACCGAGCGGCCACATCGGATGCGGGCGGGCCCCCCACTGACCACCAGGCCAAGGTAAGGCGACATAGTTTTTAAAATATATTATCCAGGGACATTTTATCCCTGTGTACATAAAATAAACCTTTTTTTTTAATATTCACCTGACCCCTGCATCCACCAAAAGTGCGGCCTCTCGTCTCCCACGCTGTTAGATAACATTGTCAATCATCGATTAATCATCTTTCAATTAGTTGGCCCTGTTCACGACTTCACACACACCGCGTGCCACACCTCCTCCCCACCTCACGCTTGCCACTGTCAGACCTGCCCGCCCACATCCACGCTCCACACGCCGCACCTCCTCCCCGCCTCACGCTTGCTGCTGCCAGACCTGTCCGAACACATCCACGCTCCACATGCTGCACCTCCTCCCCACCTCAAGCTTGCCCCTGCCAGACCTGCCCGCCCACATCCACGCTCCACACGCCGCACCTCCTCCCCGCCTCATGCTTGCCACTGCCAGCCCCGCCGGCATTCACACTACACACGTCGCACCTCCTTCACGTCTCATGCTTGCCACTGCCAGACCCGCCGGCATTCACACTACACACGTCGCACCTCCTTCACGTCTCATGCTTGCCACTGCCAGACCCGCCGGCATTCACACTACACACGTCGCACCTCCTTCACGTCTCATGCTTGCCACTGCCAGACCCGCCGGCATTCACACTACACACGTCGCACCTCCTTCACGTCTCATGCTTGCCACTGCCAGACCCGCCGGCATTCACACTACACACGTCGCACCTCCTTCACGTCTCATGCTTGCCACTGCCAGACCCGCCGGCATTCACACTACACACGTCGCACCTCCTTCACGTCTCATGCTTGCCACTGCCAGACCCGCCGGCATTCACACTACACACGTCGCACCTCCTTCACGTCTCATGCTTGCCACTGCCAGACCCGCCGGCATTCACACTACACACGTCGCACCTCCTTCACGTCTCATGCTTGCCACTGCCAGACCCGCCGGCATTCACACTACACACGTCGCACCTCCTTCACGTCTCATGCTTGCCACTGCCAGACCCGCCGGCATTCACACTACACACGTCGCACCTCCTTCACGTCTCATGCTTGCCACTGCCAGACCCGCCGGCATTCACACTACACACGTCGCACCTCCTTCACGTCTCATGCTTGCCACTGCCAGACCCGCCGGCATTCACACTACACACGTCGCACCTCCTTCACGTCTCATGCTTGCCACTGCCAGACCCGCCGGCATTCACACTACACACGTCGCACCTCCTTCACGTCTCATGCTTGCCACTGCCAGACCCGCCGGCATTCACACTACACACGTCGCACCTCCTTCACGTCTCATGCTTGCCACTGCCAGACCCGCCGGCATTCACACTACACACGTCGCACCTCCTTCACGTCTCATGCTTGCCACTGCCAGACCCGCCGGCATTCACACTACACACGTCGCACCTCCTTCACGTCTCATGCTTGCCACTGCCAGACCCGCCGGCATTCACACTACACACGTCGCACCTCCTTCACGTCTCATGCTTGCCACTGCCAGACCCGCCGGCATTCACACTACACACGTCGCACCTCCTTCACGTCTCATGCTTGCCACTGCCAGACCCGCCGGCATTCACACTACACACGTCGCACCTCCTTCACGTCTCATGCTTGCCACTGCCAGACCCGCCGGCATTCACACTACACACGTCGCACCTCCTTCACGTCTCATGCTTGCCACTGCCAGACCCGCCGGCATTCACACTACACACGTCGCACCTCCTTCACGTCTCATGCTTGCCACTGCCAGACCCGCCGGCATTCACACTACACACGTCGCACCTCCTTCACGTCTCATGCTTGCCACTGCCAGACCCGCCGGCATTCACACTACACACGTCGCACCTCCTTCACGTCTCATGCTTGCCACTGCCAGACCCGCCGGCATTCACACTACACACGTCGCACCTCCTTCACGTCTCATGCTTGCCACTGCCAGACCCGCCGGCATTCACACTACACACGTCGCACCTCCTTCACGTCTCATGCTTGCCACTGCCAGACCCGCCGGCATTCACACTACACACGTCGCACCTCCTTCACGTCTCATGCTTGCCACTGCCAGACCCGCCGGCATTCACACTACACACGTCGCACCTCCTTCACGTCTCATGCTTGCCACTGCCAGACCCGCCTGCTGGCATCCACGCTCCACACGCCGCACCTCCTCCCCGCCTCATGCTTGCCGCTGCCAGACCTGCCCGCCGGCATCCACGCTCCACACGTCGAACCTCCTCCCCGCCTCATGCACATCCCCACATCCACAATCAGCACAGGGACGTGGGGAGAAGAAGACAGTCCCGATCTCTGAAGCAAGTTGCTGGAAAACTGCTCAGGTAAGCCTGCACTTTCCCACACATGGTGCTCTATAATGTATTGCTGGGATAGTGGGATTTGTAGTCCTCTATAGCTGAAGGTACATTGCGCTGTACTGTATATTATACAGAGCAATATACCATCAATATACCATCAGCTATAGAGGACTACAAATCCCAGCAATACATTATACACTGTAATAATGCATTATTGCTGGGTCTTGTAGTCCTCTATACAGCGCAATGCAGAATACCACCAGCTATAGAGGACTACAAAACCCAGCAATAATGCATTATAAAGCGCAATATACAGGCAAAGCAAGTATTGCACCCCCCTGCCTCACATGTTATGCGTGTGTGTGTGTGGGAGGGGGGGTGACTATTTTTTCTTTTTTTTATTATCATTATTTTTCTTTTGTTTTACTTTACTGTAGGGGGCATCTGAGAAATATTAAGGGTCTAGACCCCGGATATTTCCCTCTTGAAATAGAAAAAAGATTGAGGACCCAAAGTCTCTTTTTCTACAGCACCATCATGAATGAACAGAAGCACTTAGTACAGAGGCTTCCTGTTCATTTGTTTATTCACAAACTGAGGGGACATAGTACTCTGCCCAGCTATGAATGGACAGGAAGCCTCTGTACTCAGTCCTCTTGTCCATTCAGAAACTGAGTAAGCGATAACTATGTTCCCCAGTCATGAATGAACAGGAAGTGATGTGTAGCACTTCCTGCTCATTCATAACTGGGGACAAAGTAAGCTTACTATGTCCTCAGTTTTTTACAAACTCGAGTGATCAGTACTGATCACTGTGGTGTTTGCTCTGTACACGGAAGGATCAGCAAAAATTTCACATCCACTCGGCATCCTGAAGCTTCACCCCTCCTCACACTGCTCCACTCTCCATCCTGACAGCCCCGCTTCACATCCGGACTCCTCTTGTCACTGCTCTCTCGGCTGGGCGCCAACAGCTGGATCGGCTCTGTGTTCCCTCTGATTTCCGCTGCCTTTTCTGATACAGGTGGGAGAGAGCAGCGGGGATCGGAGGGGACACAGACAGCAGCCTGCACCCGGCTCCCAGTAGGGAGGAGAGAGCTTCTGAGTAGCGGCA